TGATCGAGGTCGTGAATATTTATCTAAACAATTCAAACAACTCTGTGAAGAGAAAGGGATAAGTAGACAACTGACTATCCTTGGCACTCCATAACAAAATGGAGTTGCCGAAAGAAGAAACAGAACTCTTCTAGACATTATTTGGTCTATGATGGCTCAAGCAAACCTGCCAATTTCATATTGGGGTGATGCTTTATTAACAACGACCTTTATACTTAACCGTGTGCCCTCAAAATTAGTCGCTTTCACACCTTACGAGTTATGAACGAAACGCAAACCAGATCTAAGCATCCTAAGATCCTAGGGGTCAGCGGTGTATATCCATGACAATGGGAAATTGGGTCGTAGAGGAAAGAAATGTATCTTCATAAGGTACTCTGAACAATCAAAATGTTATGTTTTCATAGGTGAAAATGAAGATGGAATGATGAATGGAATAGAATCAAGAGATGCAACATTCATTGAAACTGAATTTCCTAATAGAGGAGATGTTGACCGCACTGTTTCTCTTTATGAGACACAGGAACAAGACAGTACAGAACAAATTGACAAACTAGAATCGTCTAGGTGTATTAATCTGAGTGGGAGCCAAGAAAGGTCAACACCGAGACCTGAACAAAGAAAGACACATAAGAAAATAGCTCCTGTCAGAAGGAGTAACAGGGAAAGTGTTCCTAAAAGACGCTTTCAAATAGAAGGCAAATCTTTCTTAGTTACTCCAAGAGGGGATGATAAGCCTCGTTCTATACGAAAAGTCTTGTTAAGTCCTACTAAGGAGGAATAGAAGAAAGCGATGGAAGAAGAAATGGACTCAATGAAAAGGAATCAAGTTTGGGTGTTATTTGATCTTCTAAAAGGGCATAAAGCCATTAGGAACAAGTGGATTCTCAATGTTAAAAGAAAAGTGGATGGATCAATTGACAAATATAAGACTCGATTAGTAGCAAAGGGATACACACAACAGGAAAGCATAGATTATGAAGATATGTTCTCACCTGTTGTGCATTTCAACTCTATTAGACTTATTCTGGCAATGGTGAATAGTTTAGACTTGAAATTACATCAGATGGATGTAAAAACCGCATTCCTGAATAGTGATCTAGTTGAAGAAATCTATATGGAACAACCATTAGGTTTCATTGAAAAAGGAAATGAGAATAAAGTTTGTAAACTCAAAAGACCTATTTATGGATTGAAACAATCATCTAGACAGTGGTATTTGAGGTTTCACAAAGCAATAACCTCATATGACTTCCAAATGATAGAGGAAGACCACTACGTCTACATTAAGTGGTTTGAGGGTAATTTTGTCATATTATCCTTATATGTAAATGATATACTATTGGCCGTAAATAGTCTCGATTCGGTGGTAACAATAGCTTTCATCAAATTTTGAGATGAAAGATATGGGCGAAGCAGAGTATATACTTAGAGTTAAAATCCAAAGACATTGTTCAAAACGAATCCTCTCTCTTTCACAAGAGAATTACATCAACAAGATTCTTGAGCGATTTAACATGAAAGACTAAAATCCTATGAGTACCCCCGTTGCTACTAAAGTAGCCTTGAGTCCTGACATGTGTTTCAAAACCAAGTCTGACAAAAAAAAGATGGAAAGAGTTCTATATACCAGTGCTGTTGGCAGTCTGATGTACGCAATGATGTGTACAAGACTAGATATCTGTTATGCAGTGGAACTAGTGAGCAGATTCCAGTCTAACCTAGGTGAAAAGCATTGGAAAGCAGTGAAGAGGATCTTGAGATACTTAAAGGGCAATTCTGATTATGCACTGTGCTACGAAGGAAGCAATATGTGCCTTGTTGGGTACTCCAATGCTGATGTAGGCGGAGATGAAGAAGAATGAAGGTCTACTTAAGGTTATACCTTCTTGCTCAACAATGGCGCTATATGTTGGAACAGCAAGAAGCAAACATACATTGCTTTACATTTAATAGAAACTGAGTTTCTTGCATGCACCGCAGCAGTGCAAGAGGCTTTATGGCTGAAAAAGTTTATAGAACACCTTGGATTTGGAAACAAGAGTACCAATCTGGTGTTAGTATATTGTGACAATACTACAGTCATAGCCTATACCAAAGATCCCAAGTATCACAACAAGACCAAGCATATTGACATCGGGTATAATTTTGTTAGAGATTATATAGCACAAAAGATTATTAGTGTACAATACATTTCAACCAAATGTATAGTAGCAGATCCCCTGACAAAGCCAATAGGCAAGAAAGCTTTTAAGGAACATATCCAAGCTCTTGGCATGCATAAAGTGTTATATGCGGAACTTATATAATATGATTTTTATAATTAATGAAATTATATATTTTTCTGTCATCACTTTATGTGTCTATCTAAAAGTATACAATGTCTAATATGTCGTATAACTTAAAAAAGTTGGCTCTCACACGGGCAATCGCCTTTGACGCACAGGTAGAGTGAACAAAGATAAGACATTTGTGTTCACCACTAAAACAACAATGAGTGTTGATATGATAGGGAAGAAACACAAAACTATATGTCGTCTTGACTAAAGTGTAGCAAGTCAAGATGAGATCCACATAAATAAAGTCGGATCGAAGCTTGGAATCCCACTTCCATAATACCTGTAACCAGATGACAAACTCTTCAACGTTGATGTCGTAGATATGAGCGAAGTTGAAGAATTTGAGTTTAGATATTGAATGTGTCTGGACTTAAGTTAGTATGGTATTAATGATAAGTCCAAAACAACATACGCTCTTATAGTAAAAGAGTAACATTGTAGTGTGTGTTTCATACCACATGTGTTGGGAGAACTGTAAAAGGGAAGTAAGTGAAAGATCCCTGCTTCGCTGCTGTGTGAGTCCTAGGGAAGGAACAATCCTCCCATTGATGTCATTTGACTTTGACAATATCATGAAGATATGCCTCAGTGATTGCTACTTTAGCATATTTCCTATGGTCATGATAGATGCGATCTAAGGTAGTAAGCTACGAAAGCGACTAATTCATATCAAAGTGATATTTGGGCGAAAGGAAGATTAACTGCAATATACACATCTATGCTAGTGTCTAAGACATGTCCCTTATGACATTTCATTGTCGTAAGTGTAAACACTAGACATACGAGGAAGCTGATCTAAGTCAAATATTGACTCGAGAGGAATTAGATTTGCCATGAAAAGTGTATACAGGTAAATCTAGGACATCTGAGGCATAATTTTAAAATTCAAGCTACACGAAGCAATGGTTGACTTGTGCTGGTCCTATAAACAAGATTTCTAGTACAGGCACCCTACTGAAGACGTCATGCCCATACGGTCACGGCAAAGCACTACGTATGAAATTAAGGTGAGAGAAAGAGACTAGATCCATGACATCTAATCCACCAAGTGTGAGTGGGAGATTAAAAAAATGGGCCAGTCCACTCTTGGTGGATTGGATCCAAATCTATTGACTTTGGGGTTCTAGTGCAAATAACAGAACATTCGGGTCGGGAACTGCAATTTACTCCATTTTGGTTTAAACAAAGGGGAAGGATTAACCGTGGGAATCAGTTTAAAGTGGAGGTAGTTTTTCTCTTTCAAAATGGAGTTAAGAAACCAACAAAAGGCATCAGTTTTTATTATGTTTCGGTTCTTACAACTCCTTCCTCCTATTTTCTCTGATCTTCCTCCTCAAGAGAGTGCATTTGCTATGAGTTTACAGACCCGAGTTCAACACCGTAGCCGGACCTCCGTGTGGCCGTCTGAGATTGTCAGACTCTCTAGGTATGCCCGCAACTCTTCATTCTAGTATACTTAAATCTCACCATCTTAAACTCTATTGGTATTTGCCTCTTTGGTTGTGATATTGAAAAAACACTAGAACAATTATTTATTAAATGTCCATATGTCAAGTACATCTTGTTTGGCTATTGTCAATTATAAGGACCAAGAGGAGTAAATTTTTTTTTTTGGACCAGTGAGAGGAGTTTTTTTTTTGGCCATCAAAGAGGAGTATATAAATAATAGTCCGTTATAATTTAGTAATTATTTTATGCATTTATTACTTATCTTGCGAAGTTTTTGATTTTTTTAATAGTATTTATAATTTATGATTGCATATTATTAACCATTTGTAAAGAAACCACTTAATTAAAACGAGAACATATCTATCCATTTATCTTTATTTTTGTTTCATTTATTTATTTATTTATTTTTTGAATAAGAGCTGTATTTCATTAGGATTGAGCAAACATTACAATCGCCTAAACGCCATCATCAAATTCATCCCGTAGTAAAAAGCGGAGGTTGCTCAAATGTACAAAACGAGCCTTCTATCGTGTGGGAAGACTTAATTAGCTAAAAAATCAGCAAGAGTCATATATTCCTAGGAGTAAACATCAAGTGAACCTGCCAAACCCTATAGACTAATAACCGATTTTCTTCAATCTGTCCCTAAGGGGGTGAACAATAACGTCCCTAAAGCCTCTATCCCAGCACATGCACAAACCATAGATAATATAGTGTTATGAATATTATAACACGTGGACGTAATCTCTTCTTTAACTTTATTAACTCCTACTACTTTTATTAGGTATTAATCTTCTACTGCTCCATTACTTTTTTACTATGTCTTTAATCCTATAACTCCCCCTACTCATATTCTCCGCTATTTATCATTTAAGTATAAATGTGACTTATGTGTAAGACTATGCCTATAAATAAGGCATGCCATTGTATTGTTATGTAAGTGAAGCAAGTGAAAAAATACAAAAGTTCTCTCATTCTCTTGTCTTCATCTTTCTCTATTATACTTTTATGATTTTATTTTTGATCCATTTTATAACACTAACCGAGTTTTATTTCTCTCCAGCCTAAACAAAACATACATTCCCTTTTTCTTTTTGTTGTTATTTTGCTTTATCAATAACCTATTAGAGACCAAACAGAGTAACGGTATAATTCTCGGGCACGGCCTCTTTTTTGAAAAGATCATGGTAACGTTAATATTCTTCACTCTCCCGTCTCCACACCCTCGTCTGCCTCCGTTTAACCAGACCCTGGCAAAGTTTTCCTCGACCACAAATTCCATTTTGAAGGAAAAGGAGACAAAAAGATGAAGAGGGTTTTCGGTGCGAAGAAGGACAAGGAGCCCTGTTCTTCTTCTTCCCTTCAGGATGTTGCCGATAGGGTTAGTACTTGACGTTTGGTAGAATATTGTGTGTTTTCTCTCACTCTCATTGTTACTTCTTTTTGGTATCTGCGAGAGCGGTGTGGAAGAATGATTCGAATTGGGTATAATTTGAGTTTATGGGGCTCGTTCGAACTTCTTGTTCATGAAATTGTTACTATCAAGCATTTATGCCATTAATTTCTGCAATTCATATTGCTTATTATGTACATCAGCTGCGGGTGTGAGTGTGCGTGTGCGTGTTTTTTCTCCCTCGGGCATAATGTATGTAACTATAGCTTGTATTTTCTACTTCGATCATTGACGCAAGTCTTTTCTAGAGACCCTAGAATTCTATTACTTTAACAAATCTATCAAATTTTGGGTTGCTTTCGGAAATTAAATTATGTATTGCGGGTAATTGTATGTTTGGGATCATGTCAAAGAAGGAGGAGGAGGAGATGATGATGTGATAACTGGAACATAATGCCTATATTTACAAGTTAATATTAGCCTAACGAAAGATCATGCTGTGACAAGAATTCTCCATTTGGAAATTATTAGCCAGATGTTTGGCAAATTAGCATGCTGGATGTTTGGATAATAGTACAATCATACTATGGATGGAATATTTATTACTACTCCCTCTGTGTTTTTATAAGTTTTGCAGGCCCTTTTGATGAGGTAAATTAACTACTCAGGCATATAAGGGATTTAGGGAAGTAAGGCTACGTTCATGTTCAATCATTTCTCCATTTTTTGGTTTGTTTGAACTACATTTTGAACTCTGCATCCAGGCTTGAAGTTGGCCTGGTACGATTCATAGTCTCAACATCTTTATTGATGGAAAATTTTTTAAACAAATATTAATAAACGCTTGGCTGATACAATGGCTCTAAACATAGCTATAGATAGGATCAACTGAAGAAAAGTTTATACCTGAGCTAACTCTTTTTTGGTTGTTGTTGTTTTTTTTTTTTTTTAAATTATGACTATTGTATCTGACTCCCTGTGTCTATGATTAACTTTTGTCAACTTCGTAGATAAGTTAGATGATGATCTTACTTTTGTCCCAAGAGGCAGCCAAGTATCTATATTCTACTGATGTAATAAAATTATGTCTTGGATTTATTTCATACATGGTGCTTGGTTTTGAATTGTCTGTTTTTGTTGCTCTCTTTTTCTTTTAAATGAACTGCCCCCCTACCCCCCAGTTCATTTTTCTCATGATTTGGCTATGTATCCACTCCAGAATCATGTTAAATTCTTATACTTAGTCCACTGGTTCAATTGCTTGAGTACTAAACATGTTTCAATTTTTAGACCATTTCAATTATCTATTGACTGAAGCATGCTTTTGATTCCAGATTATTAAAAGAGGTGACATATTGGATGAGAAGATTAAGAAGCTAGATGCTGAACTTAGTCGATATAAAGAACAGATCAAGAAAACAAGACCTGGTCCTGCACAGGAAGTTGTTAAAGCTAGAGCAGCAAGAGCTCTTAAGCAAAAGCGAATGTAAATTCCCCACTCTTTGTTTACTGAGTCAGTTGTTGTTATATCATCATAAAGATGGGCAATATTGTAAGGTCTTAGTGCTTGTTTGGATTGTCTTACCTAATTGTTTATGAGCACGTTGCATGTGAGTCGAAACAAAACTCTTCTTACATGCTTTCCACGTATTCCATAAATCACGATTAAAAAAACTGCTTATGAATAATTCTAAACGAGCCCTTAGTTTGTCTACTTATATTGGAAAGGGATAGTTTTGGTTTGAGGGTGTAGGAGATTGATCAATGTCTGGCAGCTATACAAACCACTAATTGAGGTTGATGTAGAATGTAGCATCTTGATCCTTACGGTGACAAGGTTACTATTATGAAGAATTTCATTTTTCATTTTATACTATATCTTTGCCTTATTTTTTTGGGCTAAAGATTCAATGCCCTTTTCCCATATACATTTTTTCCTCTTCCTATTTCCTTTATTGTTTGTTACTGAAATTGAGTTGTTTTTTGGGCACATTCCGAGGGTAGTTGTTGCACACAACTACATGGGTTGGGGTTCCCATTCTTAACTTGCATTTCTTCTTGCTCTGTGTTTTGTTCCATCCGTGCATTTCAATGACTTTCGTATTTTCCAATGTTATTTGAATTTCCAGTCCTTCATGCATAATGTAGGCAACATTGGTTTCTTATTGCTTTGAAAATAGGAATTGTCATTCAGCAAAGATAAAGAATACTTCATAGATCAATAATTTGACCATCATCGAACCGTTTATTAAAAAAATATAAAATAGTTATAAATTATAATTATAAATATATATTATATTACAATGAAATTAATATATATATTTTAAATGATATTTGAAATATATATGAATAATTATAAATTCAAAAATTAATTGAAGTATTTTATATATGATAACAAATATATATGGAAGTGGTTGGGTAGAGACGTAGAGTCTTTTAAATATCACAAAGACTATTATAGAATGTCAGAAAGATTTTTATTGGTTCAATGCCAAACCAATTGGTTTTTGAGTGGTACAGCTGATTCTCAGGGTCAACTAGATCAAAAACATGGCCAGTGTGCCTGTTCATCGGTCCAACCAACCAATTTCATTTGGTTTTTTGAACTGTGATAATGATGCCTTCTCTTGGTTTCTTAACATTCCTTACTAACTTCTTGAGAAAAGGTAAAATAAAGCAGTGTCAAACTCTATTTTAGTTGAAATATTTTTTTATTGCCAAAATTTTAATACTCCTGGTTCTATTTATATGCTTCAAATTTAGGAAGGGGTCTAATCCATTTTATAATCTTCAATTTGGGTTTGTTTTAACATTTAATGCGTTGTTTTTCAATGTTGCCCTTGATTAGTTTTCTCTTATCACATTTCCCAGCACATTCTCTTTCATCTTTTTTCTCATTTATTATAAGGGTATATTTGGAAACAAAAGTATATTTCTAACCTAGTTGTTATTTTTAACTAATTCTAACTAATTGTTTGTTATTCGTGAATCAGATATTTGAAACTTATAATAAAGACCGGAGCAAGTATTAAGTTTCATCATAGTCCTCATTCAATTATAATAGCACATGTATTTCTCATAAAACTGTCAATCAATACTACTAATTAGTTTGCATATGGATTGACTGTGTAGTTTAATTCAGTTTTGATAGACAATAACATGTTGTGTCTCCTTTTGAAGCATGGAATATGTTTCTAAATCACTGTATCTGCATGCAGAATGTGATTTTTTTTAAGTTGATGTTTCACCTTAGAATGTTATTGTCAGCTCTGAATTATGATGTGCGAGTCTTTTGGAGTGGAGTAGCCACAAATATAAACATATGTAATATTACATATGTACAATATCCCAGTACTATAATTATGATGAGTACTCGAATATTCTATCTTGATCAAGTCACCTTTGCTGCTGAGGGGGTTATAGATGATTGTGTTTATATGGTTATTATCCTTCATAGCAATGTGGATTGTTTATGATTGTGTTTATGTGGTTATTATCCTTCTTAACAGTTATGAAGGGCAGCGTGACATGCTGTATAGTCGGACATTCAATCTTGATCAAGTCACCTTTGCTGCTGAGGGAGTTAAAGATGCTCAACAAACTGTATGTTACACAGAGTTTAAATCTTTTATTGTAATTAATATTCAACTTTTCCCTGTATTTATATGTTTCACTGCATTACTGCTGTAAAGTTTAGATGGATATTTACGTCTAAAATATAGAAAAAACATAAAATCAGAGAGTGTTGAAGACTTTTTTTTTGTTAAATTAAGTTTGGAGGGAGGGAGAGAAATCTGCTGGACAAATTAAATCATTCATGGGTGATGGCATAGTTTCATACCCCATCCAAATTCTCTGTCAAAGCTGGGTATAGCAGGGACTCAGGCTATTAAAAGGGAAAACTTTTCAAATTTTATGTTTTTTTTTTTAATGGCTTATGCTGTGGTTTTATCTTGACTATAACAAATGTTTAGGTGTTATTTGTTGTTGTTATTGTAAATTTTGAAGATGGCAATCATATGCTATATTAAGTTGACCAGGTAATCATGTTCACTTTGTAACATTTGTTTCTCTTTGAAGCGCTTCAAGGGGCATGGTTCGAGGTGGAGCTTTATAAGTACCTTGTTTGGTGTTGGCTGCCTACCTCAGGAGAGGCAGGAGGTGAGCTGTATGTCATGAGGAAGGGGTCTTTTCACAGAAATGTGATTAATAGATACCTTGAATTTCTCTTGTGCCAATTCTAAAGATGTTTTAAGGTCTTGAGAAACCCAGTTCCATTGAAGCATATTTTGTCATGCATGCATATAATACTATTTTCTCTTATTTTGGACTATTTCTCTTTTCAGATTTGAGGTTTGAAGCTTGCCAACAAGGATTTGAAGGGAATGATGAAGACCCCGAAGATACAAGACATTGATGTGTGCACTCTTTGACCTTTTCTTACAGTTCTTCCATTGTGACCTTGAGAGTAATTGCCTTGATTGTTTTACCTGTGCTACTTGTAAAACATACGGGATGGGTTGATGGCTATGATGATGCAAGCAATGAAATTCAGCAATTCTGGGGTAGAAGCTATAACGTACTTGATGACATTGATGATTGGTGGTAAGTTCAGCATGGGGGCAATTTGATACTCTGATAGGGTCACTTTTGTTGCTTAGACCTATGAGAGGAAACTTAGATAGATGCAAGGAAAAGGAAAGTTACTTTCTGGTAGTAAGCGATTTGACTTTAAGGAAAGTTCCCTATTGTTTTGTCTTGGGTTCTATCATTTTGGTACCAGAGCGGTGTGATCCTAGGAAATTTTGAGAAGAATGTAATGGAGGAGAGTATGTTATGCTGACCTAGAGGTGCAAGAGTTAAAAGAAATCATGAGGGGGTTGATTAGGGACGTGAGTATTCTTAGAGAAGTGATATAAAGGTTGGATGGAACTTCGGCTAGGAAACTCTTTTTTTTTTTTTTTGGTTTTGTTTGTTTTTTTGCATATAATCCAAACAGAAGGGAAATTTTTCTGGAGAAAATTTCTATAATCCCCCCCCCCAACGACCAAATGAATTAGATTATTCTTTTAGGAAACTTTGTTCAAAACTGTTGCTTCTTGAGAAATTTTATTTTCATTCAGAGCAAGGCTAAAGGAAAGTTTGGATTCAATATTTCCATTCTGAATCATCCTTTTTTATGCTTATGTGATTTTGTCAACCAGGACTTGACGCAATGGAAGCAGTTGGGAAATGAAACTGAAGCTGATGGAGGTCCCTTTACCTCCATGCTGATGAAGGATCTGATTTGGAGGCAGAGCTTAACCTGCCCTTGGCTCCCATGGGACATGCAGCAGTGCAATTAATCTGATCCGTTAATGCTCAGGTCTAATTTCTTTTCCTTATCCATCTTTTAAGCAAGTTAACCACAGGTGTTTTCTTTGGTGTGATAATAAGTATTTGCATGAAATTCTCATAACCCAAAAAAAAAAAACCGCATGAATTTCTTCATTGCAGAAGATCTAATATTAAAAAGGTGTTTGGATAGATCCAAACCATGATTCGAGTAGTTATTTTGGGAATAAATTTTGGAAGAATAGGTTCTAGTAAAAAGGTGGTTTGGATAAAATGAAAGTGTTTGAATAGTTATTATCAGAAGTACTTTTTTTATGTGCAAATTATCAAAAAGTACATAAGTTAATATGATAATTACATAAAAGATATATTTTAATTTATATTTTCATTTGATGTAATAAATTTGCTAATAATTTTTTTTTGCCAACATAATAAATGATATATAAAAAATATAATTAATGAATTGTTAGTATGTGTATATATATTTATAAAATATAAGATTAAATATGTTTTTAGGAAAATAAATTTTGTTTGGCCAACAGAAAAATACTTTTCTACCTTAAAGACTATAAACATGAAATGCCATGATACAGTGATTATTGTAAAATGTGAAACAGCGTAGACTAGTTTTGAAAGTTGGAAATATTCCTCCGTGCTCACCCATGCACTTGTTTGTCCACGTGTTATTAGGTCATCTGCTGACCCAAACTACCCTGAGGTCTGACCACTTCGGAGTTTCAAGCCCATCCTTCTGACACCCATAATAATTACTCGAAGCACCAGTTTCTAGCCCTCAAAAGCGAAAGTTTTTTGCTTTTTCTAACACGATGGTTTTCCAAAAATTTGGGGTGTTTGGGGGTGTGTTTGGATTAACGGTAGAGAAGTAACTTTTTTTTTAATCTGACTTTTACAGAAGTTAGATTGAGTAAAAGTCAGATTGAGTAATGTGATTTATATTTGTATTGGATTTTAGAAAAAAGTCAGTTCGAGAAACTGAAACTTGTTTGGATGATAAATGTAAAAGTAAGTTTGGATGTAAAATGACTTAAAAGGACATGAATTCTATTAAATAGCACATATCTAATATTAGATATATATATATATATATATAATGTGACTATTTGTCATAAATAAAGTAATGAAAATAAAATTATTAAAAATAAGGAAATTTAATTTATTGTTATAAAGAAATTATATATATAATGTGACCATTTTAAAAGAAGTATTGAAAATAAAATTATTAAAAATAAAAAAAATTAAGTTATTATTATTATTAGAAGGAAATTGAAAACTAATAAAATACTTAATTAAATATATGTAATGGATAAATATATAAATTAGAGGTCATACATACGTAGCATTTTTAAAGTAAATACATCAAATAACTAATTGGATAACATACTCAATACAATTTGGTCTCTGATTGTGTCACGCACATGATTCATTTGTCTTGATCTAGGTAAATTTGAAGAGGATGTCTCACCAGCTTCATCATGATTGTTTTCGTCAACTGTTCCTTCAGATTGAGCTTGTATGAAATCTCTATTAGTTTTAGAATTTCTTCAGAGGAAATTATGTATAGCCATTGTAGCACAAACTTCTTGGACTTGAGTTTTATACTTGTAACTTGGCATCTTCTCTAAGATGCGAAACTTATTCTTCCACACCCCAAAAGTCCTTCCTATAGTGCACCTCAAACTTGAATGGTAATAATTAAAGACTTCGTTATAATTTTCAAATCCCGGTTGTCACCTGAAGTCTGGAAGGTGATAGTGCTCATATCTGTACAGACCAAGATATCCTGGTGGAGTTGGATAGCTAGCGTTGACCAAATAATACTTCCCTAATAAATCATGAAATAATGTTGACATTGTGAAATTAATGAAAATATCAAATGAATTCGATATAATTAAAATTGAAGCTAATGAAAATTGTAAAGATATGAAATATTATTGTAATTAGTATAGGAAATCAGATATGATAGCATAGGATCAGATTAGATATGATACGATATTATCTCCTAATAATGAGCCATTAATGCCTAGGCTCCTCCCTTGTGTATATATTTCCTCATTCTCAATGTGAATAATACAAGAAACATATTTTATATTATTTCCAAGTCAATATGGTATCAGAGTGGGCTGTTTAGGAGTAATTTCCCTCTGTTTAAACGTTGCTGCGTCGTACAGGTATTGTTCCTGCCGTCCAAATTTGTGACCATCATTAGGGCTTCTGTATTTGGCCTCTGAACGGAGCACGCGTCGGCCAGGGAGGATCGCGAGGTGCTGACTGGTCGAACCCCGAAGTTTCACTGCCGTCTGAGCAGCGCATGAGGCTCACGCGCCGTCACTGTTCGTCCACGCGCCGCCCTGTTTTCCGACGTCTGAGCATTTTCTTGGCTTCGTCTCCCATTTTCCGGCGCATCCCTGGTGAGTCTCAGATCTGGGTCGCCCTCTTTGTCTTGATCCAGAGTGTTTGGGTCTTGTGAGGCAACGTTGTTGCATTCTGTTTGAGATTCAGATCTGTTTTCTTGCCTCTGGTCATTGATCTGTTTCAAGGCTACATTTGGAGATTGTTAGTTGGTCCCTGGTGTGACTATTTGTGGTTTCTCATTCCTTTTTTTGTCACTATTTGAACCTTTTTTTTGTTCACCCTTTCTGTTGATTCCTCATGGGTGATACTAAGTCTACAGTTACTTCTGAAGTGGTTCCAGTAGTCGTTAAGATTACTGAACACAAATTGAATTGGACAAATTATCTGGATTGAAGTAAGACTATTCGCATCTACTTGCGAAGCATTGAGAAAGAGGGTCACTTAACTGAGAACCCCCCGAAAAATGACTCTTGTCAATCATGGTTGCGGGATGATGCACGACTGTTCTTACAAATTCGCAACTCTATCGACAGTAAGATTATTCCCTCTGTTACTCACTGTGAATTTGTTAAAGAACTGATGAATTATTTAGAATTTTTATACTCAGGCAAGGGCAACATCTCTCGTGTTTATGAGGTTTGCAAAGCTTTCTATCGTGCAGAAAAGCAGGATCGTCCTCTCAAGGCCTACTTCATGGACTTCAAACGAATGTATGAAGAATTGAATGTCCTAATGCCTTTAACTACTGATCTGAAGGCTCAACAGGCTCAACGAGAGCACATAGCCATCATGAGTTTCCTTACTGGTCTCCCGCCTGAGTATGAGGCTGTTTGCTCTCAAATTCTGTCTGGGTCTGAGATTCCTACCCTTCAGGAGGTGTTCTCCCGTCTGATGAGGACTGAGAATCTTTCATCACTGCCTACCACTGCTCCTGTTAGTGCACTAATTAGTCGAGGCCCAAATGATGGTCGTGGGACGACTAACCGTGGCAATTCAAGCAAGGGGGAGCGACAATCGAGTCGAGTGGAGTGATATGCTACTACTGAAAAGAACCGGCCATACGAAGCGTACGTGTCGTAAGCTGCAAAATAAGCAGCAACGTAATAATTCTGCACATGTGGCAACGCTAGCTAAGGACACGGTCACGATCTCTGCTGATGAATATGCCCAATTAAAATCCTCCACATCATCCGTGAGTGCTCCTGCTGCTACAGGTAATAGGCTACTGCTCTTGTCTCTTCTTCCTCCAAATGGATCATAGATTCTGGTGCTACTGACCACATGACAGGTAACCGCCATCTCTTCTCCACTTATAATTCTTACGCCAATCCTTCAACTATCACTATTGCTAATGGCTCCCATTCCCGAGTAGTTGGATCTGGCACTATTAAACCTACCCCTTCCATTCCCTTGTCATCTGTGCTAGATGTCCCTGACCTTGCATTTAACCTACTTTCCCCTAGTAAACTTACTCGCCAATTAAACTGCTGGGTTTCACTCTTTCCTGATCATTGCTTGAAACAGGATCTTTTGACGAAGAAGATTATTGGTAGGGGCTATGAATCTGGTGGACACTATTTCCTTGACGAGCAGGGTTCGCATGCAGTAGCTTGTACCGGTGGTGTCACTCCCTTTGAAGCACATTGTCGTTTGGGTCACTTGTCTTTATCTTCTTTAAAAAGGATTTATCCTCATTTTCAATATTTGTCATCTTTAGATTGTGAGTCGTGTCAGTTTGCTAAACATCATCGTCTTCCTTTAGTCTCTCGAGTCAATAAACGGGTTTCATCCCCTTTTGAGTTAGTTCATTCTGATGTTTGGGGTTCGTGTCCTACTGTGTCCACTGCTGGTTTCAAATACTTTGTTACGTTTGTTGATGATTATTCCCGTACAACTTGGTTATACTTAATGAAAAATCGTTCCGAATTATTTTCTCATTTTTGTGCCTTTTCTGCTGAGATTAAGAATCAATTTAATTCTTCCATTGGTACCCTACGAAGTGATAACGCCAAAGAATACTTCTCTGCTTCATTCTAGTCCTACATGCTTCAAAACGGCATCCTCCATCAATCCTCTTGTGTTGATACACCAACTCAAAATGGTGTTGCCGAATGTAAAAATCGTCACCTCCTAGAGGTGGCACGAGCACTTTTGTTTCACATGAAGGTTCCGAAACCTTTCTGGGCTGATGCTGTCTCCACCGCTTACTTCCTCATTAATCGCATGCCCTCTTCCGTCCTTGATGTGCCATTCCCTACACTACTCTTTTTTCTTCCAAACCTTTGTTTCCCATTGATCCTAGGATTTTCGGGTGCATTTGCTTTGTCCGAGATGTGCGACCCTCTGTCTCTAAATTAGATCCAAAGTCTCTTAAGTGTGTCTTCCTTGGTTACTCTCGGGTTCAAAAGGGCTACCGATGTTTCTCTCCTACTCTTAATCGTTATCTTGTTTCTGCAGATGTCACCTTTCAAGAATCCATTCCATATTTTTCTCCTTCCACTTCTCCTGTACCTCCTCCCTCTGCGGAAGAGGATGACCTTCTAGTATACCCTGTTGTCCCACTGTCAACTCCACCACCTCCGGTTCCGGCTCCTGCTCAGCCTCCTGCACGACCACCCGTGTCTCATGTTTACACAAGACGTTCAAAGGAAACCCTTGTTACTGCACCAGGTTCTGAGTATCTTGCATCCTGAGCCGACACCTATCTCCCACTCTGAGACACCTCCGGTTCCTGAACCAAATCCTTCCCTTACTTACCCATTGCTCTTTGCAAAGGTACACGTACTTGTGCCCATCCTATTTCTTCATTTGTTTCATATAACCACCTCTCCCCTGTTTCTCGTGCCTTTGTCTCTTCCTTAGATTCTGTCTCCTTGCCAAAGACCCTTCATGAAGCTTTGGCCCACCTGGCTTGGCGTGCAGCTATGGAGGAGGAGATGGCGGCCCTTGACCAGGCTGGCACTTGGACTTTAGTTGATTTACCAGCAGGGAAGAAGGCTATTGGGTGTAAATGGGTCTTAACCCCTAAAACCCGTGCTGATGGTTCTCTTGATCGCCTTAAAGCTCGCTTGGTTGCTAAAGGCTATGCTCAGACCTATGGTGTAGATTATTCATAGACTTTCTCCCCTGTCGCAAAACTTTCCTCTGTTCGTCTCTTCATTTCTATGGCAGCAACTTATGGCTGGGTTCTCCATCAGTTGGATATCAAAAATGCCTTCTTGTATGGTGATCTTCTTGAGGAAGTTTACATGGAGCAACCGCCAGGCTTTGTTGCTCAGGGGGAGCGTGGGAAAGTATGTCATCTCAAGAGATCCTTATATGGCCTGAAACAGAGTCCCCGGCATGGTTCGACAGGTTTAGTACTGTTGTGCAGAAGTTTGGCATGTGTCAAAGCAAGTGTGATCACTCTGTGTTCTATCAGAGAACAGACATCGACATGATTCT